CTCTGAGTAAACTGACATTCCCTGAGTAAATTTGGTCTTTAACAAAAACTGATATTCAAATTCTCTAAGCAATTGGAAAACCAACAAAAGAAGGTGTTGAAAGAAAAATTGTGTAACCAAGGTATTTTTCGTGACGAATGAAAGGAAAGGATTATAAAGTTGCAGCGGAAAAAAAGTAACAGAACAAAAACTTGATTAAATAATTAACACTGTAGAATGTAGATTTTCTAAGCATAGCTCAGATGTGGCGCAAGGCCAAAAAAAAAAAAAAAAAAGCATAACACCCCGTGAGGATCGAACTCACTACCCAGTCGTCACTTGATCTAGCTAGATAACTATGCCGACCATTACATCACGCATAAGTTCTCAGGCTATGTTCGTAGAATGATTTCATTTAAATTAAAGATGCCAGTTGCGGAAAACTTTTTTCTCGCCAAAACTATGTTTCATTTTTAAGTCTACCATTCGTCCATGCATTGAATATTGCTGACACATCAATTGTTTTACTTCTAGGTATTCTAGAGATTACTGACAAAATCCAAAGAAGAATCGGCAACATTATCGGTCCTCACCTGGCATCTTTACTTCAGTCACTTTCCCACCGCCCTAAAGTAGGATTCCTTGACGTGTTCTATAAATATCTTCACTCTAATTATTCTGATTAGCTTTCCACGTTGGCAGCGCGACTTCAGGAATTTGAGCGCAGTACTTGATTGGCAGCTATGTCTCATCATTTCCCTATTGAAATTGGTAATTGTAAACACAAGTTCTATGCTAATAGTTTCTTCTTTCGCACTTATCACTTGTGGAACTCACTTCCGGCTTTCCGCTTGTTTTTCAACTACGATTTTTAAAAAATGAAAATGCAATGTCAATTGTCATCATCTATCTCCTTCAAGTCTGTTCTTTTATTGTCTTTTCCGTTTCTTTTACTCTCTGTAACCACTTGCATCCTAGTAACTTTTTTTGTCTTACATGTAGCGAAATGATTTGAAAAATAGGAAAATACATGACCATTGTGTTCACACGTACGTTGTAACGTAGTGTATATATATATATACTGAGGAAAATGAATTGCAAAACACAGAATATGGGCTCCACTTAATTCTGGATTAAACGCGCCATTAATATATCTACATTACAATGAAAGATCTCATATACGTACAAATTATTGCAGGTTGATTTTTTTTCACTTATTTAGAAAATTAACATTGCATTCGATATGAAATCTGGGGTGTCATGCCATAAGTAGTGACACCAAAAATTAGATTCATCGCTTTTACTAATTTTTAAGCAGTTAGTTTTAATGGTCGTCTGAAAAATGTACACATAAACCTAATTCCCGCAGGCTTTTGCATACAAAATGACCATTTCAAAAAGACATGCAAAGAAAGTTGATATTTTTTTATTAGATGCACTGAATGGAAAATATATTCCGACCAGAATTCTAATTATGAATCACCATATGCAAAATATGCAATTCTTTTTACTGTAATCAATATGTATAAACGCTGTAAAAAAATTGTAAAAGATTACAAAAAAGGCGACTCAATGAATACGATTTTTTAGATCATTTGATGGATCATTTGATAATTCATGATTAATAAAAAAACAGAAAAATACGTAAAAGAGTATGTAGCGCCATAATACTGCTGAGCAGAAATTACAAGAGAAAATGTTTTACATTTGCATACTTTATTGAAAATCCCATTGACTAAAATTACTGTAAACATATATCATAATGTAGCAAAATCATTCAGCATAATTTCCCATTAATGAAGGTCTTATTTGATGGCACAATGATTTAGTAATAATGTGCTTGTGGCATGTATCTTGTCCATATACAATATGTAAAGTTTCAGTAAATTATAAATTTTGTAAGGCTGTTCTGTAAGGGTTTTACTGGTCAAAGGAATGAAATTCCAACGCATTCTTTCTACAAAGACGAACGAGAATTGTCATCGTTTGGCATTATGAATCTTTATGAATGGTTTATGTATTTTTAGAAAGTATACTGCAGATATCGTTACTCAGGTCTATTTTGGAAACAAAAAAACCCCCAAAAAACGATTGTCATTTGCATAAAAGAACACCAGAGAGTCCCATTTGATCTCTCATGTCCTGCACTTAAGGCACGATGAACACACGGGTGTTACAGTGTTAGTGAAAATTTGGCTAGAAGCACGCTGGTCCGTAGTTCTGCTGCGATAAGCAATTCCCAACAGTGCGTATTGACATTTCTCGGATCATATTTGTACTGATCATTGCTATGGACGCCGAGTGGTCTGCCACTTCTGCCCTTGCAATGTCGATCTTGGCGAGTGCCTGTAATATGTGACTATTCAGAATTTGGTCTACTAGTTTGTTTATTTAGCTTGTTTCTTGATTTCAAATTATTTTATTCATTTTGGGGTATTTACTTAATTCTAAACATTCTTATTGATATAACATGTACCCTTTTCCCTCTCACGATGTGTATGCTTCGGTACAAACATTGCTATTCTAAATTTTCCCGATAATTATCAAGCTCATTTCGATATCATATCACTCTTTAATGTACACAAATAAAGTAACCTTCTGTCAGACTAAGGTAATTTATTAACTATCACATTATTATTATTTATGTATTTACATGTCTTAACAAGGTGTCAGTTGGTTGTCGCTGACGACTGAGCGAGAGAAAAACACCTTCAAAATCCCATCACCTTTTTTTAATATCGTCGGAAACATTAGCAACGCCGCGGTTTGAACGGTTTCAAATCTTCCACTAATTTTTCAACGTATCTATTCTTGATTCCAGCATATTTGCCATAGCTTCAAGTGCACGTATTCTTATAGGCACGAGTCTAATGTCCATATTCAAAAATCTTTTTCAACTCTTGGGAAATGTCTTTGTACTTTTCGTGTGTGTTTCTCACCATCAGCTTCTTTCATTCTTTATTTTGTGAACGAATATTAAAGTTGTGAAATATGAAAAGGGACAATGTGATCAACACTGAGTGGGCGGCTTCAACGCAATATTCCTGCCTTCATGCATTATACAGATAGATAGATAGATAGATAGATAGATAGATAGATAGATAGATAGATAGATAGATAGATAGATAGATAGATAGATAGATAGATAGATAGAAACAACTGAGATAGGTAAATTAGAACATTTATAGATAGATAGATAGATAGATAGATAGATAGATAGATAGATAGATAGAAAGATAGAAACAAATGAGATAGGTAAATTAGAACATTTATAGATAGATAGATAGATAGATAGAAAGATAGAAACAAATGAGATAGGTAAATTAGAACATTTATAGATAGATAGATAGATAGATAGATAGATAGATAGATAGATAGATAGAGAGACAGAGAGCAATAGACAGAAGTAAAAATTTCTGAATTCAAACCATGTTTTTTCCATGGATTATCATATACAGTCCTTGGGATTTGACATTATTCCAGACAGATTAAACTCAGTAATAATAAATAGATACATAGATATGAACAGACTAAGATATATATATATCTATATATATATATATATATATATATATATATATATATATATATATATATATATATATATATATATGGAAAAAGATGGAGACAGAAAAGAGATAGTAAATTCTATCCGTCTGTAATAATATATAAGTAAACATATATCTATGCAGAAACAGAGAGAGAGAGAGAGAGAGAGAGGTATAAATTATATTATATACAAATGATATTAAGAATAAATTATGTTAAGTGTAAATGATATTAAGTTTAAATTATATTATGTAAAATATATTAATTATAAATTAAGTATAAATAATATTACGTATAAATTATATAGAGCATAGATTATACTGTGTCTAAATTATATTATGTTTAAATTAAGTATAAATTAAATTAATTATAATTTATATTAAGTATAGATTATATGAAGTATAAATTGCATTAATTATACATTATATTAATATAAATTAAGTATAAAATTATATTTAAGTATAAATTACAAATGGGAGACATTACTTTTGTATCGACGCTCGGATATTTATAATCATTATTCAAATATGTACATTTATTCACGCTTTCTCTCTCTCTCTCTCACACACACACACACACAAACACACACACACACGCCTATATATATATATATATATATATATATATATATATATATATATATATAAATAATAAAACACTTCGTTCATCATTATATGAATATTCATTCATACGATACGCCAGAAGAAATATCTATCTATCTATTTGGCTATCTCGATCTGGTGTAACGTCAGGCAAGATTACGACTGTGTAGTGATTTTGATTTATATTAGGTGCTGCATTCATCCAGCCTTTGTAAATCGTTTAGTAAATCGTTATCGCTCTCAATCTATTTAGATCTATCTATCTATCTATCTATCTATCTATCTATCTATCTATCTATCTATCTATCTATCTCATTCTGTTCATATCTATCTATCTATCTATCTATCTCAATTTATTCAGATCTATCTAAGTTGTGTGAATAAATTTTGAGTAAGTGCGGAGAGAGAGAGAGAGAGAGAGAGAGAGAGAGAATGCGTGTATGTGTAGATCAGAAAGAGTATGTGTGAAATTGAGATAGAAAGACGAAATAGTGACTGCGTGTTTTTAGATTTCAACAGAGAGAGAGAGAGAGAGAGAGAGAGAGCGTGAGAGCGAAGTGATTGATAATTTGTGAGAGAGAAGGCGATATAATGTGTAAGTGTATTAATGCGAGAGAGACAGAAGAGTGATTGTGGAAGCGATAGAGTATAGAAACTTTGTGCTTTGCATATAGATTGCGTTTATGTGCGTGCGTGTGTGTGTGTACGCGCGTGAAAGAAAAAGACTGTGTGTATGGGTGAGAGAGATAGGCAGAGAGGGAGGGGGTAGAGAGATCATCACTATTAATACAATTAATATTAATATTACAGTAACTATTAATAGTAATATAAGTGGGAGAGAGAAACAGAAGTGAAAGTGTGAGTGCGTGTTCAGAGAGAGAGAGAGGGGAGAGAGAGAGAGAGAAAGAGAGAGAGTGTGCCTCTTTGCGTCAGAGTGATAGAATCAGAGAGAGAAATCGGTGAGAATCGTGCATTAATGATAGTGTCAGATTTAGCGGGGGAGAGAAATAGGTAGGGCGAAAGTGATATTGGACGAGGGTGCGTAGGAAAGATAGATAAGTATATAGAGAGAAATAAAGAGAGGGTCGGAGCGAGAGAAGCGATAATATATGCGCGCGAAGGAGATAGAGGGCTCGAATTTAAGTGGCGTCTCCTTTTTTTTTACATGGATTACACTAGACGTAAGTAAGATTAGAAATAATTCAAGACACGTTCGACTTTGGCAAGTGTCCGTTAGCAGTGAATAGACCGTTCCATTTAAATATTGAAAAGACCAATGCTATATTGGTATCATTGTATTATTTTATTACCTATTAGACGATTCTCTTAACAGTAAACGTTTACTCATCTTTGACGAAAATGTGTTTGTTTTCTTTCTATCTTCATTTTGTTGTAAAATCGGGTTTATGTACATGGAAATAGATTTATTGAATTATCATTTTGATTTCAGTTTTTATGTATTGTCTTTCTCTCTCTCACACACACACACATATATATATATATATATATATATATATATATATCCTCAGGCCACGATTGCGTCTAGCATGAAACAGACTGTCGCCTCTAATGTTGTTTTATAGTTATATATATATATATATATATATATATATATATATATATATATATATATATATATAAAGGGGACAGGCTGAGTGTTGACTTCAATGTTCACTTATATATTTAGATTTACATACGCTCTATCTCTGATATTGAGCACTTTATCCCATAAATATAGCACACCTTAAGTGTATATATATATATATATACATATATATATATATATATATATATATATATATATATATATATATATATATATATAAACTTTAAAAATTAGAAGATCATATAGGATACCCGACCTTGTTTTCGACCTCACGGTATCATCAGGCTAATTTTATCAACTGACCATCCAACGCTTTATTTTTAAAAATCCACAAGAAACGCAAAATTATTATTTTTCAAAAATAAATAAACAACCAAACGCTCTCCTGTTAAACGAATAACGTTGAGTATAATAAATTGAAGGGGTGGGGGGGCGCTCTAAGGAGAATTAAGAAGAATATGTCATTAAGAACTTTTACCTAATTGTTTAAGTTTAAAGCTCTACATGTTATTTTTACCTTTATTTTTTTCAGACGTGTATTGAGCACTTTTTATACTACTGTTTCTTGGTATGATTTAACTCTGACCATTAAGCTTTCATATATATATATATATATATATATATATATATATATATATATATATAGGATTTATACGTCATTTTATAGATGCAAATATTTAAGTAAAAGCTCTGTTTATAATAAACAGTATTACCAGCCTGAATTTCAATGGAAATCTCAAAGAAAAATTTGTGTCCTCCGACTGGAATCGAACCTGTATCCTAGACAGAACCGCCAAATAGCCTGACGTGCTATACCATTTAGCTACAGAGGAAGCATCTGGCCTCCAGATTAAATTAATATTTTTGAACTACAATCTTAACCTTGCTAGCCAGATGCTTCCTCTTTAGCTAAATAGCACGTCAGGCTATATGACGGTTTCCAAAGACAAGATTTGGAAACATTTTTCAAAACATTTCACTCAAAGTAAAAAGCCATTACGACTCAAGGAGTTACTGTGTATGAGAAAACATGGGGAAAAAGACGCTATTAAGGAGAGAGAACAAAAAAAAACCAACAACAAAAAACAAGAAGACAAAATATAACGATTGACATAGCATTTAAATATTTAAAGATCAAATTTTATTGGAAATCCAGAAGCCGAAAGTGAGCACACAAGCGAGAAATGCGAGAAACGACACTGTTAACATAGAAATACGTGTACATCTAGCAATTTCAATTGTAGAATGATGACATCTTTCCATCAATCTAGCGCGGCGCTTAAATTCATAGAGTCTAGATGCCATAGAAGAAAGTTCTTCAGAATAAGTGCGACGAATGTATTTACAGAAAGAAACAGGGGAAACTAAACTTGCTGAAGCTGAGGCCTGAACAGGACCACTGTCACTGCAAATACTTCTTTGGATTTTATCAAGGATCTCTAAATATATAGCAGGAGCACCAGACCATATATGACAATACGGTTCAAGCAAGGAGAAATAGTGGACTTATAAATATGTAAGATAGACTGTAGTGAGAAAGATTGTTCGGCACGACGTACGGAATCAACTGTCCTAGCAGTAGATTTAGAAATTGATTCAATATAATCATTTCAGTTTATGTCAGCGAAAAAAAAATAATCCCGAGAAGGTACAATGAGTCACACATGGAGGTTAGCATCAGCCATACAGGTGGGATACAAAAGGGTTATTATATCAGACGATTAATAGAGAGTAGATTCGTTTTTGAGGTGTTAAAATAAACAAGTCATTCCTTGCCCCAGTTAACAACATAATCATTTTTTAGACCAGTGGCCAATATCCAAGCTTATCCAAGCGATCAGATTTAATATTAAACAGGAGTAAATAATTGTGTCACCAGCATAGATAGGGATTTGAGTAAAAAAATTACAGAATTTTGCATTATATAAAACTTAACCTAAATTTAGAATTAAATATTTCGGAGAATGTAGATAGGAAAAATTCTTTAGAAACAAAGAAACGAGTGCTGACCTGCTATGACCTCCTATATAACAATGAATGCTGAGCAATTATCTCACAGATGAAGAGGAGGCGTTAGGTATGAGATGGGTTCCACAGAAGGATGTTGAGAATTCCATGGAGGGAGTATGTAAGTAACAAAGAAAGAAAGAGGCGCTTAGAATCAGAAAGAGACATTTGAAATTACTGGGGTGCGCGGGAAGAAAACTTGGAAACATTGACACTCACCGGACATGTAAGAGAGACAGAAGGAAACGACAAGTAACTTTTCTAAAAATGATTTATATAAATGGATATCAGTACAGGGAAGGGGGAGGAATAGTTCAAATACAAATATTACTAAGAACTACAAAGAACAGGAAGCTATGGAGAGCCTGTTGTACATTCATGACGGTCGTCTTTGAGTATAGAATCCAGAGGTTAGCAGTGAATATTTCGGAGACAGTAGGAAAGCGTAGTTCAGGTTAGCAGTGGATATCGCGGCAAAGTAGCAGAGCGTAGTTCTTCCTTCTGTTCATCATCGCATGACAAGTTGGCACTGGTCATTCAGGTAGGTAAAACAAAAATGGCCGCCTTTATACACGACGAATAGAATGTTCTGCATCTTCTGATCGGTTAACCTTCTATTGGTAGACTATAAAGCGAGTCAAGGCATTTGGACTAACTCACTAGTTACATGATATACGCAAAAAACTGTAACACAGCCATGATCTCTGATGTCCTGTAAAAAAAATCTGCAAAGTACTACTGAGCCTGTAGGAAGAGTTTCACAAATCCCAAGATTTAGACGTTAATGTTTGATATTAATTCTGTAGAATAGTTAAAAATAAAGTACGTCTTATAAAGCATAAAATATAGAAATAAATAGTTGTTTAGAGATACGTTCATTCTTTTTCTTTCTTCTTTCTAACTTAATTTCATTCATTTATTCATCAACCGATGCCAGTTTCCACTGCATAATTCAATAAAAGAAAATGGCTGAAATTGGTTAAATAACAAAAACAAATATAACTACCAATGAGGTGGTGGGCAATCTCATCATTTGTAAAATAGGGTCTAAATTCAAGAAATCAGATAGATTTTAAATGGCCAACTGCCAAGATCTCTTAGTCTCTTTCTCACTCTTTAATCTGAAAGGGCTTCTTGGGTCTTGTCCTAGTATGAGATTTTCACCAGTTAATCATGCAATCTTTGATGTAGATTTAGATTTTGACCCTCAAGGGAATCAAAAACTTCTATAAACAGAATTGCTGAACACTTCTTTATATCTATGTATCTACGGCTTTTAATATACATATATTGTGTTTCACAAAAAAGAAAAAAAAACAATCAAGGTATTTTCAGATAGAGGCTTTTAAGGAAAGCAGTTTTTGTAATTATAGTGCTCAATATTAAAAGATAGAGCATTCATGCAACACATTAAATTGAATGTTGCCCTTTCCTTTATCCGAGATTTGCAGAGATTATATACATTAGCCGGTTGACTTGCTTGTAAAAAAATTACAATCAAGCTCCCATACGAATGGAAGTCATCTCTGCATAATTCAGAGCATGGACTGAAAAATGAACATTGAATGGTAATGGTAAGGCGATGGTAAGTAACTGGTGATTAAATGAATACTTATCATCGTTAATTACCATCGTAATTATTTAATCTCGAGTTACTTACTATTGCCTGAAGAGGTACAATCAAATTATTGAAATATGAAAGCTTTTGCGTAGCGATTTCAACATGTTTTATTATAATAAAAAAATATATAATTGGAATATTTTATATTGAGCAGTTTTTAAACGTAAATGCTACGAACAGTGGAATTTTGTTCCATCTGATCTTTCTCCCATTTGGTTTTATTTATATACATAAATATATATATATATATATATATATATATATATATATATATATATATATATAGATATAGATAGATAGATAGATAGATAGATAGATAGATAATATTAGTGGAAAACATACATACATATGCAAAATATATAAAAATATATAAATACCCATACATGTATATTTTTAGAAAAAAATTTCCAAGAGGAAGAATCCAGGTAGAACTCAATGTCTAGGACAGAGTAAGGATATAATAAAAAGGCTTAAACACTAATATTCCATGGTCATAATTTATTCCATTGGAATCGTAAATACGATCCAATTCATCAGACATACAAATTCAAAATGAAAACAGAAAAAACCCACTCCGGAAGTGGAGACTGAATTTAGAGAAAGTGTAAATATGAGGAGGAGGGAGATTGAACCTTAACAGAGAGAATTTTAGGAGAGGTGGTGGGGAGGGTTTTAGATAAGAGAAGAGAATGAATGTCGACGGATGTCTAATGTATAAAGATACATTTCGTGGTGACATATATACACCATAGACAATTTAATGCTAGAATAATAGGGAGGGAAAGGGAAAGAGGAGGTGGGGGGAGAGATGGGACGAAGGAAAGTAAAATTGCGTTTACTTAAAGGGCCGCTTTGTAATTGAGAAAATTTAACAAAATTAATATCGACTACAGGTTACAAATCAAATATAAATATATGAAGATGAATATAACGATTGTCTAATCCAGCAAGGACCTATATTTCTATGTTCAAAGACACATGTGAATACACACAATAATAACATATACATGTATACACATACACATGGGAGTGTACCCACACACACACATACATACATACGTGTACACACATATATAAAAATATAAAAATATATTCACATATCCACACATACACATATTCATCTATATCCATATACACACACTTTTCACATACATATACACTCATACATACCCATTATATACTCATATATATATATATATATATATATATATATATATATATATATATATATATATATATATATATATACACACACATATATACATGTATATGCGTGTATGCACACATACACACATATATATCCATACACACATACATACATATACATATACACACATACATACACATATATATACCCATACACATATATATATATATATATACATACATATACACACACATACATATACACGTATATGCGTGTATGCACACATACGCACACATATATATCCATACACACATACATACATATACATATACACACATACATACACATATATATATACCCATACACACACACATATATATATATATATATATATATATATATATATATATATATATATACACATACATATACATACATATTTATACACATACACACACATACATATATACACACACCTTTACATATGCACACATTCACACACGTATATACACATATACACACACATACATACATACACACACACGCCACATAAACGTGCACAATGATACATTTAGAGATAAACATAATAAACATAATAGTCATTCCAGTAAAATGTCATGCCCGATGTTATTGAACCAAGATGGAACTGACATAAGTGACAACATGTTACAAAACGGTGTTCATGTTTTGAATCGTTTCTTATGTCTACATTTAGAGAATATCTCATTACGAAGATTCAGCATCTCATCTCGATTCTTATCTTTGATAATGAAGATTTTTTTCCGCCATGCACAGATCACACCGATCGCAGAAGTTATTAGGTGTTCTGGCTCTAGATAGGTATCTCCATTTCAAAATTGGGTTTAATCCCTTATCCACCAGTTCCCAGTAGTGTTTGGATAAGGAAGTCTGTCTACTGAGGCATCTATATCTAAATGAGCGTCTATAGTTGTATAGACGCTGCTTCCAATCACCGGCGGATATATATATATATATATATATATATATATATATATATATGAGATATCAACTCATGCCAATTCAATTCGACCTTGGGTCACTGGAGATTTGTTGAATCAAGTCACACACATTGCACATAATGGTAGACACGAGCATTACAACCTCATTTAGATACAAATAATTTTATGGAATGCATCCCTTTGTCTGGACTACACCGACAAATTTTCATTCCATCGCCATATATATATATATATATATATATATATATATATGTGACGATACATATATATATATATATATATATATATATATATATATATATATATGAGGTAGACCATATTTATAGGTTTAAGTGATTAATATCAGTTGATACAGCCTATGAAAATATAAAAGTGGACATCGAAAACAACACTAAGCGGCCACATTTATATATATATATATATATATATATATGTGTGTGTGTGTGTGTGCAGGCGTTTGTGCGTGTGTTTTTGAAACAATACATTTTGAAGCAATTTGGAATTTTCACATTATTCGCTGCCTTCATGACAAGTAATAATTCTTTGATACGCAAGCCAATTTATTATTAATAATTTTAGGAAATATAGAGATTTTTCCAATCTCTGGAGATTATTTTGCCTGTGTAAATAGAATCCTTTAACTAAAATAAACAAGACACATCGAAAAATGAAATCATTGTAACAAAATATTCAAAGAATCCATGTTTGTCTAGTGACGATTAAATTAAAATTTGATTAATTTATTAAATTTCTTTTTAAATTTAAAAATGCCTTTTCTTTTTATTAGTTTCTTTACTTATTTTAGCTTTATTTAAAATTATATTATTTACCTTTTAACTGACGATGACAAAAATGCTTGTCGGCGGTTAATATAAAATGTGGTACTGATTTATTGGACTTAATCAGGGCTTATAACAAAAGCTAATCAGTTCCGCCTGGTAACATTAATTTAAAGTCGACCGCCTGATATTAAATAATATCGTCTTTATTTTGAGCTCGATCGGGTAAAGTTGTTATTGTGAATATTAATTTTATGAGTTGGAGCAGTCAACGTTTGAAGAAAGGTTGAATACTATTAGCAAAACTAGCCTTTCTCTCTGTTTATCTAAGGTGAGAATTGATCATTAGAGGCATTATCTCGATGTGGATTTCTTTCTCTTCTTTATCACAGTATTTCGGCCGTGCTATCATACGGCCTTCTTCAGATCCGCATAACCTTCAGAGAATTTTTAACTTTAATTTTTAGGGCTTTAATTAATCTACTAATTAATTGTTCTCATTCTGATGACTAAGTCGAAGAATATCTCTTTTTTTTCTCATTTAGGAATACTGTTATTATTCGCCCTGTTTTTATTCAAAAGTTTGCATTGTGAATTTTGTGATTTAGGAATTGTGTGTTAATTCCAGTCGAATCTATTACTTACGTTGGGAAAGGTATGATTTCTCTTTATCTTCCCCCCAGCTATGGATAAATAACAGGACATATCGGGCTCTATTGCATTGGATGGCAACTGGTCTACCGCAGAAAGAAATGGCAACCTACTGCGGGAAAAAACTGCCTCGTCAGTCATGTATCGAAAGATACATGAACGCCCACGCGTTTATTACGCATGGCACACAACTGACTGTGCCCGATATTCCATTAAAAATAGACAGTAGAACGAGAACATTCTGCGCCCCTGGATTAAATAAAGTGTTAGTTCGAAATACCCTGAGGGTTACTCGGATCGACAGACACTTGAAGAAAGCCAGAGGGCACCAATATTCGAAATGTTGGGATACTAACAACAAAGATGTAGATATTAGTTTGAATATAGATAATATAAGTAAGAAAATTCCACAATTTTGAAAAATATTTTAGTGTCGATACAGACAAGGGAAAACGTAAAGGTGGATTGGAAGGTGCGTTTGAACCTAAACAAAGTATTAGTAATATGACATTAAAAACAAAGAAATATGTGTCGGACTGCTATATAATATATGTATTCCAATATGGATATTTATCCTTGCGTGATTTGTCAATAAATTCTTTTTTTTCTATTTCCACGTATGATGACATGATAATGTTTAAATGCACTTGAGCGTTTTAGCCTTAATATTGTGCGATAAAGACTAAACGGTGGCTTTCTCCGGGGAAAATAAATCTCCTCAGTCCTCTAGCAGTTCTTTAGTATTAAAGTTCATTTTAGCACGTCTTTCAGGAAATGCTTCAAGCGCGCCAACTGTGATGATGTTCCACTTTTTTTCTCTTTTCCCTTGCAAAATCCAGATATTTTTCAGCCATTAACTTCTTCCTTTGATGTCTGATGAGGCAGCGACATCTTCCTTACATATTCGTCCCCCTGTTAAAAGACTCCCCACCAGATATTTACATTTCCCTACGTGCTTAACTCTGGCCCCTCTTTATTTCGTATTTCGCATCCTGAGATGTTCCATTTGATGACAACGTTTTTGTTTTATTATTTTATTTATCTTATTGATGTTTAGTCTTTTAGTCATAAGAAAATGTCCAATTTAATGGTATATTAAATAATGATTTAAATGAGGATTTGGAAATTCCACAGTACTAAAGCAATGTCACCCATTAACGGAGTTACTAACAGAGTCTTAAGCAGTACGGGGGTTAGGGTGTGGGACGCTTTTGATATTCTCGCCTTGTCGACTAACCTTCGAGATTGTGGAATGTTTAGAATTGTTTGAAAAAATGTGTATCGATTTCAGCAACTATATTGTACCAGGGCATTCAAGCCCTTCCCTGTTTTAAAGATTGGAGCAATATAATCTTATTCCATCTCTACTCATTTAATTCTGAACTGCAGTAGGCTGAGTTTGATAAATATCTCTGTTTAGGTGAAATTATATAGGCGCATAAATAAATGCATGTGTTTATCTATATATATCAAGGTATGATATAACATTGTCTATCTACCTATATTTTCTGTAAATAAATCTATCTATGGATGTAGTTATTTCCATTTGGACAGAGTATTATGATGCGCGCACACACACACACTTTCTCTCTCTCACACACACATATATGTGTGTGTGTATTTATAAAGTCTTTCCTGTGTGTTAATAAGTATATGAATATTTATGCGTATTTATACAAAATGTTCTGCGAAAGATCAGAAAACAAATTATTACTTTCAGAATGCCTAACGTTGCTGAAAATTGAAAAAGAATTGTGATGACATATTTTCGCAAGAAAAGACTATTGCAAAAGATGAAAGTCATCTTCCTTTCTTCGAAAATAAGAGCAAACGTAAATGAAAATTGTATAAGAAAGGAAGAAGAAGAAAGAGGAGGAGGGGGAGGTGAAGAAGAAGAAGAAGAAGAAAATAAAGAAGAAGAAGAAGAAGAAGAAGAAGAAGAAGAAGAAGAAGAAAATGTGACAGAAGAGAAGGGGGTGAAGTCGAAACGACTGGAGAAGGATCAAGAAGGAGACATTTGGTGCGAAATTGTGTTTTCAATTCTTATCACAATGAACGTTAATTGAATCTTAAGGCCTACGACATAAAGTCAAAAATTGAAAAAAGATGGAAACCTGGATGAAAAGAATAAAATAATAATAAGGAAGAGGGAGAAAAAGATAAGATAGATAAAAAAGATAAGCAGAAGAGAAATAGAAGAGGAAAAATATGTGAAAAAGAAGACGAAGGAAAAGCAACGGCCAAAAAGGAAGTAGAAAAAACAACAAAAAACAACAACAGAAGCAAAAACCGAAAGAAAAAATGATTGTAAAAATAAGAAAAATTCTGATCTAAACCCCTACAAAATATGATAAAACTATCAAAGAGACAAACGAACAAACATACTGACAGACAAACCTGATGATAAGGGCTTCATTTATGTCATTCTGCGTGGTATACATCCGAAGGCCACGCATGCGCAGTGATCAGGCGGGAAAAGGCAAAATAGACGCCTCGTTCTGCCCGAAAGCTAATTGCGTTGTTATGCGCATGTGCGCATCGGGAGGCGGAAATTTCTTTCATTTCTTTGTATTTTGCCATTTTTTTTATAATTTCATGCATTATCAGTTTCCTTAACGATCCAGTTACTTGTACAAATGCGCACTGCAACAATCTTTTCAAATTCATTTCTACTGTATTTTGCTATTTTTCCGGTTCCTTCTCCTTTGCATATATATATATATATATATATATATAAATATATATATGTATATGTATATGTGTGTGTGTGGGTGTGAATATGTATTAGCAAGTGCGTAAATTAATGACGAGAAAAGGATATATTTTACACAAGATATGTTTATTTTTGAAAAAAATAATCACCCCTGCATTTTGGGTCACTTATTTCAATGATGAATATTAATTATACAATGAAAATTACAGAAAATCAATCAGCGAATGCTTGTGTATCAGGTGACATGTTTTTGTCCCTGCCCATATATATATATATATATATATATATATATATATATATATAGAGAGAGAGAGAGAGAGATAAATAGAGGGTGTTGACGTCAATGTCCACTTTTTATATTTACATACGCTGTATCGCTGATATTGAGTACTTTAACCCATAAATATAGCACACCTTAAAACTATACATATATATATATATATATATATATATGACCAAGAGGAAAAAAACAATGAATCAAAAAATGTATGGTCCTACCAACTGAGTCTATCACATCTACAACTGAAAAGAACTTATCTAAATTCAACATAAAAATTGTTACTACTGCATATAAAAGAATAAAAGTCTTAGTGTATACTAAAAAAATACAATAAAATAAGCTAAAACTTGAAGGAGGAATTTACTCGATAGCGTGTAATAATTGCCACAAAATATACATAGGAGAAACCTCAAGAAATTTAGATAAAATATTCTATGAAGATAAAAGGCACATTTTACAAAACGATCCATCAAAGGCGTTTGTTGCCCACAGTAACGAGATTGACCACAATTTTAACAAAAATGCTACTCTGATCAAATGAGAAGATACAAATATTTTTCCACAATATCGTTCTTTTTTATATATATATATATATATATATATATATATATATATATATATATATCGTTATCTGACACACACACACAAACTCACACACACAGACATATATGATTTATTATTTTTTTTCTTTTATAATTTTCATTTATTTTATAATTTGGTATGGTCTGAAGATCGTATTGAAATGTGAAAAACCGACCAGTCACCATGCAGTGTTTATAGTCTGATACTGTCTCTGGGCGAGTTGTTTTCTTTTTGTACATCAACTTCAATCTACGTTTGATGTTCCATTACTGAAGTATAGGGTGTCCCTCTCGCTAAAATGATCTCAGAGTGTAATAAAATTTATAAAAACTAAGTTGACTGTGCGGACTTATCTCAATGAGAATTTATCAGGAAGATGGATGGGGCGTGACAGTGACAATGTGAATGTACTGTTGAAATGGCCACCAGGTTCACCTGACTTGGCACATTGTTAATTTTTCTATGTGGTTATACGAAAGGACAGGTCTACATCCCCCTCTTCCTAGAAGTCTAGAGGAACTTAATCAGGGAATCACGAGGCATTGGAGAATGTTACACAAGACATGCTACAACTTGGTTGGCAGGTGCTGGACTACCGATATGATGTGTGTCATCTCACAGGTGGGGTATATACTGAACAATTGTGAAGCCGGTTATAAAACCTACAAGCCGTTTTATATCTGTCTCAGTCTGTTCATATCTATCTATCTATCTATCTATCTATCTATCTATCTATCTATCTATCTATCTATCTGTATTTGTTCATATCTATCCATCTATCTATCTCAGTCTGTTCATATCTATCTACCTTTCTTTTTTAATCATTTCACCACATTTCCCCACAATCAAGGTAATAAAGCCACTAAGACGTAAGGTTCTATTGAATATTAGAAAATATGTGGAAATTAAGGAGAGAGGACAATAAACAAGAAAGACAGAAGATAACGATTGGCATTGCACTGTGACTGGAAAGAAGCAGACGGAAGTGAATGTCTCGAGAGAGAAGTGAGAGAGAAGAAACAGTTAGGATAGAATTTACGGTTACATCTAGCCATTTCAACTATAAAATGATAAGAGCCAGTTGTCTATATAGCACTGTGTTTAAATTTGTTAAGTGTAGTTACCAAAGAGGAAAGCCGTACAGAACAATTACCATGAAAATAATTATAGAAAATGCACAAGGAACTACCTCAAGGCGAGATGCTTGGTCAGAATCTATAACATTGCAGATCCTTGTTTGGCTTCCATCAAGAATGTCTAAATATATGTTAGGGGTACCAGACCAGATGTTGCAAACATATTCAAAGCGGGGGAAAATGATAGACTTATTAATATGTAAAATCGACACAGTGAACCAACTTTTCTAGCTGCAGACTTAGCAACTGATTCAATATAATCTTTCCAGCTCATGTCATCGAAAAATGTAAGTCCAAGAAGGCGCAACGAGTCGCTCTCCTAGGGGTTAGCATCAGCCATACTGATGGAAGGTAGAAAGGATGCTCGTTTTGGAGGCGTTAAAATTAACAAGCCATTCCTTGCCCCATTTAACAACAAATTGTAGATCATTTTTAAGATCAGATACCAATTTGACCCTATCGAACTGATCAGATTGACTTATTAAAACAGGAGTAAATAGTATCGTCATAAGTACAGATACGGAGTTGAGAATTGATGACACCAGGAAGTTCATTTATGAAAATCAGGAACAACATGGGTCTAAGGATCAAGCCTTGGAGAACACCTACATTAATGTAAAAAAATCTATAAGAATGGCAACTCAAAAGAAATTTCATTTCGCCATTTGATAAGAAAGTTTGACTAAATTGAAAAATTCATCCAGAAACAATATAAGCTTACGAAACACTGTCAAATGCTTTCGAGATATTCAAAGCTACAGAATCTAAATAATCTTGAGGTAATGATCCTTAATACATCAGCATTTGACCTAGAGAAGCGAAAACCCTATTCCTTATCTGAAAGAAGACCCTTTTGAACAGAGACTCTAGAACTTCGCCAAAAAGAAGTAGATCTATCTATCTATCTATCTATCTATCTATCTCATTCTGTCTATATCTATCTATCTATCTATCTATCTATCTATCTATCTATCTATCTATCTATCATTTTGTCCAATCAAGTACATGGTGATGAGGACTGTTAATTATGTTGATCATAGAATCCATAGCTACTGGACTAATTTGCCCAGTCACGATTTTGCCAAGATGAAACTTAATTAAACCCTGCAGAAAATATCTTTTTATCACAGGATATTACTATTTAGCATTATGGTAGGTGGCAATAATGAGTTATTCATTATCGATAGGTGATGATGAGTGACGTTAAATACGGGTTCTCACACGGTAGTTCATAGTTAAAAAGACTGAGAAATCTGTTCGAATTTCCCGATCTACTGATTTTACAACTGCTGTCTATCTCAGTCTGTTCATATCTATCTATCTATCTATCTATCTATCTATCTATCTATCTATCTATCTATCTATCTATCACTGAGTTTAATCTGGCTGGAATAATGTTAAATCCCGATGACTGTATATGAACTTATACATGATAATCCATGGAAAAATCATGGTTTGAATTCGGAAATTTACTTGTGTCTATTGCTCTCTCTCTCTCAGTTTATCTATCTATCTATCTATCTATCTATCTATCTATCTATCTATCTATCTCTGTTCTAATCTAACTATCTCAATTGTTTCTATCTATCTATATATCTATCTCCATATGTTTCTATCTATCTCTTTATAATTCTTAGCCAAACTTTAAGCATAAATCTCGCGAGATAGATTAATTTTTAATTTTTCTGCAGTTCAGACTATTTTTTGTTACAATGTAACTGTAGTTACAATGTGACTGTAGTTACAATGTTGATAATTATTTTATAACAAAGTCAATTTGTATTTTCCAGTTATTATCGTTAAATATCTACTGTTATCTTCTTAATATTTAGAACGGTATAAGAGTTGTTAGCTATCACGTGACGACTTTTGTCTTCCATTGACGATGATTTCGATATTTGATGAATGTTGTAGAAATTCTGGCGCACCTTTGCATTGTAAAGAAACTAAGGACACCTGACTTGTAAAATCACAAACACATACGCGTGACCGCACGCAGGAGCACATTCGCATACACCCAACGGTGCACCTCCCCACACACGAACATATAAAAAGCAATCAAATGAAGGAAGGAAATCGTCTTGTAGGGAAGATTGGTGAATTGAATTTTGGCAAAAACTTTCCCATTCCTTCGTACGAGTCGCTTTTCTTTTAATCTTATCAACAGTTAAGACATTAGTAACGTTTTCTCTTCCATTCTTATCATTTAATTCTATTTAGCATTTTTTTCTGTTCTCTCTTTTTCTTCCTTTTTCCCTTTCGCAATTAACTTATGTTGCCACAGACTCGTGAAATCATCGATCTTCATAATCACTTGTCCTGGGGGAGGTAACGGTGAAACTGGGGGTTAGTTTTCATCGAACTTTCATGAGTAATCCCCTTAAGTGCACGAAGATATTGGGAAAGGGGCCTGCTTTAATGTCTGTCTATAAAGTAAATATGCAAAAAAGAGATATACGCTGTTATGACTGTATTTAAACCGATGCGGATTTGACGATTTAGTTCATAAAACGTGAATATAAGCGTTTATATAGAAATTTAGGCATGTATTATTGCTCTTCTCTATACCGTATCCATTCAGGACATAGTCCTGGGCATGACGATAAACTACGCCCGGCATGGTAGGTAGTTCCAGATCTTAAATGCTGTTGTTCCCAGATCTACCCTAAACCGGGATTGTAGCACCTGTTATGGGAAAATAGTGATTCCTCACCAAACAAAAGTAAAACACTACGAAAGTATAAAAATTCTTTTTATAATACAAATACCAGCAATAGATTTTTATATAAAAGAAATTACGAACAATACATATAGTAGAATTACTAACAATACATTTTACCTGTCGTTGAAGGCTTACAATTATGTTCAAAATATATTTATTTGAAGGCATACAATTGTGTTCAAAATATTTAAATTTATGGAATTAAATAAGCCATAGAAGTTGAAATGCCTCAAAACAAAATCAACTAAACAACCAACATAAAAGAACTCTTTCATGATATTAATCCATATAATATTGCACAATTTCTCAAAAAAATCACAATGTATCACAAAATATAACTTCAAAAAAACTACAACATAAAACACACATACCTCTAGTAATTATGGCCATATAAAAATGTATATGCCCAATGTTTTTCAATTTTTTCCTTGGGTACCAATTTGTTTTGATATACTTGCAAGCTGTGTTATCCGAGTTTTTTTTTTCAACCGAGTATTACCATTAGTATAATAATATCTATCTATCTATCTATCTATCTATCTATCTATCTATCTATCTATCTATCTTAAAGATAGTTTTCTAAACCAAAATGTGTGGTGCGTCTCAGACTACTGCTATCCTCAGAGATGCAAACACATTTTCATTACACACAGTTTTGTCTTCAATTCCGACCTGAAGAACCCGAACCCTCACACGTCGGTGAAACGCGTCGTTTATTAGCTTTTACACTTTATCTCTTCATCTTCACATTTATTTCGGATACCATTATACATACTACAAACACACACACACGCACCCCCCACACACACTCTCTCTCTCCCCATATATACATATATGAAATTCTGTAAGTGGGCATATAATTGTAACTGAATTCTGGTCATCTACAAATCGTGACCAATCATGAAATCCCAGATAATTAAATTACTTTTAGTCAATTGTTTGATTTCTTTTCTTTCACGTTTACTTTCCCTTTTTATATTCAATTGTTCCTAGTTTTTTTCTTTATTTTACGAAATTGGGTGCCAAAATGCTGTTAAGATAAGTGCTATGATATTAAGCAGCATTAAACAGACATCGCTTCTCTTGAAGCGAATACATAGTTTCTCCCCCAGGTTAATATACAATCTCACTACATCCGTCATCGGTAATTTTTGTCAAAGACGTGAATTGATAGCCGCCAAAGTAGAATGAAGTGCTTCTTACGTTCGCATTAAGCTCTGGCCAGAAGAGCACACAAACTGTCATAAATTATTAATCCATCCAAAATTGAGAGGAGAGATCTTTACCCTCAGCAGATGCTAAATCTCTTTTTGCTTTCGTTACTCTAACAGACATCCTGCCAAATGAATAGAACTTTCGATCTATTTTTATAACTTTCAGGTGCGTCAGGTAATTAAGAAAGATCGTAATATAAAGAAAAATAAGATGATATTCAATAAAGAAAACGATATATTTTTAAAGCAATTTGTGAACAGGGGAATCAATAAAATTTCTCTCTCTTTGGTGATCGACACAATGCTGGATGTTGAAAATCTCACCCACGATCATTCAGTTATGTGCCATGCGTGATACGCGCTTAGGCGATCATGTATCTTTCGATACATGACTGACGAGGCAGATTTTTTCCCGCAGTAGGTTGCCATTTCTTTCGGCTGTAGACCAGTTGCCATCCAAGGATATAGAACCCGGCCTGTCCTACTATTTATGCATAGCTAGGGAGAGAAGTACGGGATTCAGTTCAGTTATGTGTCATGCGTGATACACGCTTAGGCGATCATCTATCTTTCAATACATGACTGACGAGGCAGATTTTTTCCAGCAATAGGTTGCCATTTCTTTCTGCGGTAGACCAGTTGTCATCCAAGTTTACAGAACCCGGTTTTTCCTGCTATTTACCCATAGGTGGGGGTAGAAGAAGAGGATTCCTACATTTCCCAAGGGTATTAGCACGTAAGTGAATGTAATGGATTTGGCTGAAATTTGAATTTGACTCCATGACATCGACCTTTAATATGCGTTTGGTACTGTGAAAACACTGGCTGGTCCCCCACTCGACGAAGTCCCAGATATTTTAGTCTATGAAATTCAACCAAGACCAATTCACAGGCAACGACTCCTGGCAAATGTGGATTATGTGGGAAGGAGCAACGTCTTATTGGAAGACATAATTGCCAACATCTCGATCCTGGTTTTCGACCACCCCAATTGAAAATTAAATCGAAGAGTTCTAAATGCAACAATATCTGATGCTTCTTTTCGTATAAAACTTGACCAATATGTGAGTGAGGAAAATTCATTGAGGATCAATGGCCTCTTTATCCTCAGAGATCCAAAAACATTTTCATTACATTCAGTTTTCTTTTTCATCCCGATCTGAAGAAGCCGAAACCAACAGATATTCGCCGAAACATGTCGTTTATAGCTTTTCTACTTTATCTCATGGCTTCGATTTAATGAAGTGTGTAACTCTCAGCAAGGAGCATACTGGCGCTATAGAATCACAAAGAACTTTACCAGATATCAAAACTGTGCCAGATGAGGATATGGGTAGCACACATAAATCGAAGAGAGAATAATGATATAATCAAGACGTTGCACAATACCCCGAGTAAAAGACAAGGAAGGAAACTCCCATTAATATTGGAACCATTACTAACAGCGACTGGACTTGACAAACCTATTTTCCTGATAAAATCTTTTAGCAGAAAGAGAGCATGTCTGAATGCACGGGCAATGAATTTCTATTTGAGTAAAAGGCTAATATTGCTTTTGCCACTGATATACACACAAATATCTATCTATCTATCTATCTATCTATCTATCTATCTATCTATCTATCTATGTATATATATATATATATATATATATATATCAGACACATTTATCTTACATTCAGGCCGGTAAATATTGTTTAATACTGTTTATTATAAACAGAGCATTTACTTAAATATTTGCATCTATAAAAAATGTATAAACATAAAAAATGTCTTAAATAATTGTCGGACTTTGTTTCATTATATATATATATATATATATATATATATATATATATATATATATATATATATATATGTATGTATGTATGTTGTTTAGATCGTTATAGCATAATTTGAATACGCGGCATAGTTCAAGGTTATTATGCGCCAATCGGCTTCACTATGCAAACTTTAGATCAATTACCATAGCAACAGACCCGTTACATTTTCAAATCAAATATATATATATATATATATATATATATATATATATATATATATATATATATATATATATATATAAAGAAATAACAATAAGATATATAATCCGGTGTTCTTATTGATATTTTATTTTTACAAAACAGTGCACAATGTAAATTTACAGAGCATAAATATTATAAATTAACTTATTTAAAATATGTTTTTTTTCGCTACACAGTAATAACCATGTTTCAAAAATGGAATCTAAAAACTTCAAATTTAATTTTGTAATTAAATTAAAAACATTATTCCATTTCATCTTCAAGCGAATATTGGAATATACATACATACATATATATATATATATATACATATATATATATATATATATATATATATATATATATATATATATATATATATATATATATTCGGCGTCAAACGTTTGTGAATTGCTGTATCATAAATATATACACAACCTATGTCTTAGATCGATTATCATATATGATTTTGATCGAGTGAAGCGGGTAGACTTCAGCGAGGTCTATCATTCATCGAACCTTGTGTATTGGCGCTACAGAATCACAGAATTATCCAGATAACAGAAACAACACCAATTAAAATTTCCAACGGGAGCAACAGCAAAGATGTGAGTAGCACATGTAAATCGAAGAGAGAATAATGTCATAATCAAGATGTTGATGTTCCACACTACCCCGAGCAAAAGGGAAGGAAGGAAACTGCCATCAATAATGGAAATAGCAATAAGGCCTACTCCACCTGAGAGATCAATTTTCCCGAAAGATTTTATAGATTTCAACCGGAAACTGTTCGGTCAGTGAATGTGAGGAAAGAGTTAATATTATAATTATCATAAGAGATGAAGAATATAAACTACACATTGATCCCGGCTTTATGACCAGAGAGTGAAGAAAATCGTAGTTTGCGTAGTACCGGTTGCTCGGTCAATGTCTGCCGAATTTTCTTGTAGCTAACATATAAGGAACAGGTAATATTACCATTATATAGCATAATATAATATTTCCATGGAATTTCAGATAACACTATGAAAGCTTAGTGATAGTTAACAAAGACTATCACACGGAGTGACACAGTTTCGGATTCCGATACATAATCTTAATTCTTAAGACACTTTGACACCAGATAATAGTTACCACTTCATAAACAAGCAGCAGATGACAGGAACATGCCAGAAAATTGTGACGGAAATAACATCAGCAGGTCAGTATGTAGCTAAGAATTATCCCACTAAAATTGATTGCCTATGGCGACAACGGATGTCGTCCAAAACTGACTGTAAAGTGTCGAAAACACATCAGTAGACATGATTTATCTATTGGCACGCGTTACCAGTTATTAAAACGTGAAAACTGTCAGCTGCTCCCGATTGGATACTGTGGAATGTTGTCTCTACATTCAAGCTGAATTTAGCAGTAAGCAATTAGCGCCATCACTTAATCTGGTGAATAGATTAAAATCTTCCGCCATTGAATTAACGCTTTATTTATGCGTTCATGAATATGCATACAACAGGAAATTTATGATGAAGTTGTAATTTACTATAGTATTCCTATGTTGTGGCGAAAAAGAAAAGATATTTTGAGGTATCGTTAGGGGCGACTGAGGCGCTTTTGGAGCCGGGGTATGGATGCTTTCGACTCAAAACAATGACTGATCCTAAGGTTATAATACAATGAATGTTGGCAGCAGTGCTATAGTTTTGTATCAACATGCTTATGAATATATTATGTAATATATATATATATATATATATATATATATATATATATATATATATATATATATATAATTTATTTATGTATAGGGGCGGGAATTAAAAGAAATAATACCAAAGATCCGATTATGATCTGGGAAAATGTTTTTTAAAAAGCCAAACCATACACCAATTATTGTGATATCTGCAATTTCGCCAGGAAAACAAAAGTTACTATTTCTAAACCAGAAAAAATGTTCTGAATGAGGGATTGGAAATAATGACAACATGCATACACACACACACACAAAAAATTCTTTTTGAGTTCGTTCGAACCAGGATGAAAGCAAGTGCATTTCATATAACAGCCCCCAACCCCGATACAATTTCAATAGCATTCATCTTGTCTCCTACTTCCGTTACGCTTCTGGTTGTGCGTTTATTCATTTATTTTAAAAAAATAAAGCGTTAGAAAATTTTTTCACCCAGATTGGCGAAGATACCGAAAGGTTGAAACCAAGGTAGAATTATCGGCTGATTTTCTATTTTTGAAATTTTAAAGCTTTTCTTGTTAAATTTTTATTTTATTTATATGTGTATTGAGCATATAATAATAATTCTGTTTCTTAGCCTAGTTCAATTCTGACCAATAACTTATATTTATATATATATATATATATATATATATATATATATATATAACGTGAACATTGAAGTAAACACTTAGAGGTGACAGGCTGTTACATGCTAGACTGAGTGTTGACTTCAATGTTCACTTTTTTATTTATATTTACATACGCTCTATCTGTAATATTGAGCACTTTTTTCCCATAAATATAGCACTATATTTCTTCATATATATATATATATATATATATATATATATATATATATATATATAATGTAGTAGGTGCCACTTGACGACGTGGTGAAGGAAGGTATGATAGTTTTCAATGTAGTCAGGATGGTTTAGCCGTGTAAAGATGCTAGCTAGCCGTGCAAATTACGTATTTCGTCTCTGGGTATGTCACAACAGCCATAACATATGAGAATGGACAAAATTAATTTATCGACTCTCGATTTTCTATCTGTTTATATACTCATTTACAGACCAGCTTTGAAAAAGTGGCTCGCTTTTCATTGGCTCGCTTTTTTTATATCCTCAGGCACGTTAGAGTAATGGATAGCGGCTGGAATTGAGGAATATGAAAGCCAAGTTCGAATTCACGTCAAATCCATTATATTAATTTACGTGATAATACCCCTGAGAAAGGTATGTATGCTCTTCTTTCCTAGTTATTGGTTAATAGCAGAACAGACTGGTTTTTATAGCCTTGGGTGACATACAGTCAAGTAGAAAGTTACTCTGAATTCAAAACTGTATGTAGCTTTGGTGTCGTATATACCACAGAGCTAAAGAAAGGATCGTTTGCACTGGCTCGATGATACAAACTATGTTCGAGTGATGATGATGATATCCTAATTTTGAAATCTTTCTGATTCGTTTTTCGAACTATCCATCTTGTTATATATCTTTATTCCTTTTCGTACATGCTGCTCGTGAAAGTCTTCTGCTTGGTTGATCGAACTATGGCTTTGCTTGCCTGGCGATTTTAATTATCAGTCTATTTTTAAAGATGTGACCTTTTAGTCGTGTTATTTATTTCTCAACCAACTGGGCTTGTTGCCTTTATCCACCTCGACAATATTATATATATATATATATATATAGTTTATGCAAATTTAGGTAATCCGTATGGGTAGACCTGAGGAGGATGATATCCAGAGAGCTCAATGTAAAATTCAGAGCAGATATGTTTGAATAAAAGACAGACCACGTTAAGATTCCATGTAATAAGCTATTTCACCATAACCCCTTTAACAGGGTTCTGGATCATCAGACTTTACTTCCAAAAGCTGAAATGAAGAATGAAAAGAAATTCACACGTTTTTTACGGACCTCATCAAGTATACGCAAAGTTAACGAAGTGAGGAAGTGAGGTGGGAGAGAGGATATGAGTGTGTCATATGTATCATTTTAGTTTCCTATTTTAACCCCAGTGTGTCGGCTGGATGTTGCTCAAATCTAACGCGTCTCGTCTCTAGGTAAAGGTGGTTAAGGGGTGAGCGATAAGGCCTACATTAAGGAAGATGTTCCAACAACCCCAATAAATTACACTACAGGTTTCATTCAAATTCTTAGACGCTGTCAGTTCGCGTTACTTTAACGTACATATTTGGGAGGTTAAGGTTTGATAAATATCTAAATTTTAAAATCTACGAAGAAATTAATTTGAAATTCGGTATTTTCTATGAAGCAGTCGATTGGAAAAATCCATAGACAGAACATTGAAAGAGTAATCCAATTTATATTTAGTACTTTTTCCACTAAAACTTTTATCTTATAGCTTGTTAGGTTGACATTTCTTCGTTTGATTTTTGTTCATTAAGTAAGCTCGTGGTTGTTTTTATGTATCCAATTATCAACAGTTATTCCCATTTAAATAATTTTGTTTTCCACATTGGGGTAGTATCTTTCAGTGTCAATTAAAATACTAATCTAAAACTTTCCCTTCGTGCTATTTAGAATTCACTTCCAATTGGAGAATATTAGAGGAGGAATTTGGAAGAGATGTCACTAGCAGAAAATTAGGCCATTCTTTTACATTTTCTTAGCTACACATGCCTTAAACCCCTATTTGTAACCCCATACCTATATCGTCTTATATGACTATGAGTTCCTATATACACCTACACACACATTCACACGAAGCGATATATGTATATTTCCACCTTTACACATATACACCTGCAGTATTTAATTACATTATCTATGTCTTTACACCTATAATATTACCCGATCTTTCATATTTATGGCAAAACATATAAGTACCTAACTAATTGTACATCTCCACACTCACAAAAAAACAAAAAAAACAAACAAAAAAACAAAACCGGTATGCTTCTTTTTCCGTATAAAAACATATACATGTACATATCAACAGTTGTCTCAGTGTGCAAATACATTATCATAGTTGTATACATACAGTTATGTGTTATCGTTCACGTGTGCATAGTAATATTTCTAAAAACAAAGGGAATATAAAACATTCAAAATTGCTGTTCCTTTATGATTATTTCCCAATGTACTTGCTTAGGTTTAGGTTGTTTTTGTGCCGGCATTTAAAAACTAGTTCATTGTGTCTATTTAGTAGTATGTCTGGATCTTTATGTTTGATTATGAAGATTTTCTCCTTCAAACATAAGTTGCATCTGTCTCTAAAGTTTTGGGGAGTTCTTGCTCTTGATATTATTCTCCACTTTATTTGTGGTGTTAGGCCACTCTCCAACAAAAACCAATAATGATTTGATAGTGATTATTCTCGTATTTGGTACTTATATTTTTATCACATTCATATCTCTGATATATATATATATATATATATATATATATATATATATGTGTGTGTGTGTGTGTGTGTGTGTGTGTTATCCCTTTACCTGACAACCCAATAACGGCTCAAAAAACTAAATAACATACCATAACGTAAATCAAATTGACACTAGTTTATATACTAAAATCTACAAAAGAATAAAATAACCAGAACGAAAAGAAATACAATAAAAATATAATACATAAATAAAAGTAGACAGAATAAAGTCCAGGTGTATAGATATCTTAAAGCGGACGGACTACGAAGGAGACTTCGTTTTCTTTCACTTTAATACACAAGACACAAGTGGCTTATAATATAGAGCGTAAAGCCTTCCATGAAGTGGGAAACTGACAGTCACCATGTTGTGATGATTATTATGCTCACGCTCTCTCTATATATATCTTAGTCTGTTCATATCTATCTATCTATCTATCTATCTATGTTACTGTTCATATCTATCTATCTATCTATCTATCTATCTATCTATCTATCTATCTATCTTAATGTTCATATGTAGCTATCTATCTGTTCATATCTATCTATCTATCTATCTATCTTACTGTTCCCATCTATCTATCTATCTATCTATCTATCTTATTGTTCCCATCTATCTATCTATCTATCTATCTATCTATCTATCTATCTATCTATCTGTTCACATCTATCTATCTATGTTACTGTTCATATCTATCTATGTTACTGTTCATATCTATCTATCTATCTATCTATCTATCTATCTATCTAAGTTTCTTCATATCTATCTATCTTAGTCTGTTCATATCTGTTTATCTCTGCAATCGACGGCATGTTTTGCCTTCATATGGTACACGTCAATGTTAGTAGAGGGGCAAAGTAAATACGGCCTCATCCGGTCAAGTGACATTAAATCTACGTGTAATGAAGTGTTTTTGACGACGAGCGCATATAAAGAGGATATTTGGCCATTCGTACAAGCGGGTCAGGAAATTGGGGCAACTCGGTTCAGGGAATTGGATACTTGCTCAATCGGCCAATGGGTCGCTCATCAATCAACGTTAGCCGGCAGAACCGGACAATATTCGGTTGGCGTTGACTTTGACGTCAACCAAATTGTGAGCTTCAAACTTCACTTAGTTCTTATCGGACTAAAGATGATAACTCATTCATCAATCAATCACTCTCTTTCTTTCGAACTTAAATTTTAAACACTCAACAACCCCAAAATAAGAATATTTCAGTTTTGTATTTGGGGGATCCTATAACGAAAACTAGAAATCCCCGGGACTGGCGAGGAAGTTGAAACGATTTATTATATTAAGAGGAAATATTAAGATGTAAATTTTATTTGGGGGTTTTCATATCGTCATATATTACAGTACATGTATATATATATATATATATATATATATATATATATATATATATATATACTCGTAGCCTGACGATTGCATCTAGCATGAAACAACCTGTAGCCTCTAAGTGTTGACTTCTATGTTCACTTTTATGTTTACACACGCTCTGTCTCTGATATTGAGCACTTTATCCCATAAATATAGCACATCTTAAGATTATATTTCTTCATGTATATATATATATATATATATATATATATATATATATATATATATATATATATTTTAATACATGTTTCATTAAAAACGACAGACAAGGTATTACGGTTAAGCATTTTATTTAATTTTTCTTGTGTTCACACAAGAGCTTTCTTTTTGGGAGACAGAGTGTGTAGAAACTGAAAATGTTCTATAGTTCCGAGCGCTTTCGGCTATAATTTTAGCCATTATCAAGGATGATTTTATTTTTTCAGTTTAATTGAGTGTATGCTTTAATGTGTATGTTTTTATATTAATTGCATTTAATTTATAATAATTACATTGGTCACACAACTGCATGACTATCCAGACGCCTTAAGTTACATATCTCTGATCATGGCTCCATTAGAACCCAAATAAACACAGGCACAAACTTATCAGACACCATTCGAAATATACTAGTAGAAAACACAAACATAATAACCTCATCCAACTTTAAAAATGATTAAAAATAACGGAATCCCTAATAATAAAAAGTAAACTCTTAATAATATTAACTACGAACTAGGCCACAATGTGCTACCGAGTTCGGAAAATAATACATCTCTATAACACAATAAAAATATACACATAACGCATACCCACAATTAAACTGAAAAAAATAAAACCATCCTTGATAATGGCTAAACGTATAAACGAAAGCGCTTGAAACTATAAAACATTTGGACAGTTTTTAGACACTCAGTGTCCAAAAAAGAAAGCTCTTGGACGAACACAGGAAAAATTAAATAAAAAGTTTAACTGTAGTAACTTGTTTTTTGTCGTTTTCAATGAAACATGCATTAGTGAAGGATTGCTACCTAAATACACTATATATATATATATATATATATATATATATATATATATATAACTGGTCAATACGACTGATTTTTAAATTTCTGATCCAACTTTGGCACAAATATCTCCATTAAATCCGAATGCTTTCACCTAATGTTTTAGTCATTATCAAAGGGGATTTTTGGTTGTCTGAATATTTCAGCACATTGTAGCTGTGTTCCTAATTGACATCAATTATGAACACGGCCACATTGTGCTGATTGTGTTTGGAATTAAAACATTTCTATTGCTATATAAAAATCTACACATTCAGAAAAACAAAAAGATATCCTGGATAATGGTTAACGAATTAGCTGAAAGCGTTCCGATTCAAAAATTATTTGAACAATTTTTATAGACTATAGGTCCCAAATTTTACGTATACAAGAAAAATATAGAAAAACCTTAATCGCAGTTCTTTGTTCGTCGTCTTCAATGAAACTAGTATAAAATTAGAATTGATGCCTTAATATATATATATATATATATATATATATATATATATATATATATATATTTTATTTTAGGATATTACATCGAAAACATGTCAAAATCTCTAAACAATTGCAGAAATTTGACCCGTTCCATAAATACTAAAAATTTTTCTTTGAGTTCATATGAAGTGGGATGAAAAGATAGTATGTATATTTTATTTACCCCCCACCACAGATACATTTCCAATACACTCGCTTTTCTCCTCCTTCTCCCCCTTCTACTACAACTCACGTCGTGCCCTTGTTTATTTATTTTTAAATAATATGACATTCATTAAATATAATAAAAAAAATAAAGTTTTAGGAAATCAGTTGACCGAAATCGCCTGAAGATATCGAAAGGTTTTAAACCCAAAACTGATCTAATTTGTTATACTATATATATATATATATATATATATATATATATATATATATATATATATATATATATAGATAGAGAGAGAGAGAGAGAGAGAGAGAGAGAGAGAGAGATTTACAGTGTGCTATATTTAGGGATAAAGTGCCCAATATTAAGGATAGAGCGTATGTAAATATAAATATAAAAGTGAACATTTAAGTCAATTGCCTGTTTGCCTCTGAGTGTTGACTTCAATGTTCACTTATATACTTATATATATATATATATATATATATATATATATATATATATATATATATATATATATATATATATATATATATAAATTTAACACTGAAGTTAACGTACATCGCCGACAGTGTTTCATGCCTGACGATTCAGTTTAAGCATGAAGCAGTCTGTCATCACTAGATTTTAACTTCAATGTCCATTTTTATGAATTTTTCTCTATGATACTTCGTCTTCACAAATTTCAGCAAAGTAGATTTTTAACAACGTTTCATCATCTTTCAGCTGACATTGCTAGATGCCAATTCTATTGAAATAGTTTTTTCTCTTACACTTTTCTCTTCCGGCTTCTTGTTTTCCTGTCAACTACGATCTCCAAAAATTTAAGCACATACTTCAATTATTATCTTCTGTCTCCTTGAATTCTCTTTATTGTCCCCCTTTCATCAGCATCTTTTTTCTCAGTGAAAGACTCGGCAACACCTCGCGTCGTTGCGGCTTTATCGCCTTGCTTGGGATAAAATAATCTATAAATATTATGACTGCCTAGACTGTATACGATCGTTTCCTATCGCTTAAACATCAATTCTGTCGTGAACTTGTAAAAATATCGACATACAAATATATTTCGATTATTTTTTTTATATTAAGAAACTTCCGGAATCTACAATGGAAACGCATTTAGATTCCTCCATGCTTAATCACACACACATTCAAACATATTCACACATACACACACAAAACACACAAACACGCATTTACGCACAAACACACACACTTGTTCTATTTATGACTTTCATTCATCTTTGTTTTTAACATAAACACAGGAAAAATACATCTTGTTCTGTTTCCATTTTAGCGTCACATATAAATGTATTCTTAAATACGGAAATCGAGTTCTCTGCTTTAAGAAAAAAATATGTATGTATTCGTTCTTAAATTGGGTTTTAAATACCTGCCAAGTTATCAGGAAGTTGAAAGATCTCATAAAATATTCCTTAAATCGAAATAGTGCTAGGTAGACGAATACTTATTAATTTATACGGTAAAAAAAAACTTGGAGTTCCCAGGCACAAAACAAAATAACGTTCACACTTTTGCTTCGACGGTTTTGTAAACACGTCTTCAAATTGGAAAGAGCAGATAGAAAGGCGGCACATTTTCAGGATTCTTTTAGTGCCCAAAACCTATCAAGTCTTTTCTCGTACAAAATAAGGATGATTACTTCTGCACTTGAAAGCGGTTCTGATAACTCAAGAAAACTGTACTAATGTAGGTTTTACATAAAATGTAGCTGGAGTTAAGGAAACTTTCTAAAATATAAATATATATATATATATATATATATATATATAATAAAAAAGGCTTAAACACTAATATTCCATGGTCATAATTTATTCCATTGGAATCGTAAATACGGTCCAATTCATCAGACCTACAAATAATTATTTATTTAAAAATATGATTCCATCGCTACATAAGAGTTCTCATGGAATCATATTTTTAAATAAATAATTATATTTAGGCTCTACTTTTGTATCGAGCACTGTTTTTTAAAATAATGACAAAAATACTAAAGAACTTTGCATTATTTACCTAACGAGTTCTTTCCTATTTTCTATATATTTTTACACACACACACACACACACACACACACACACACACACACATATATATATATATATATAAAACTATGAACCTTATTAGAAAAATATGACAGGATTCGAACCCGCTTTCGCCTAGGGGAAACCTTCATTAGATCTGACGTGCTTTTAATCTCTCGGCCACGAAAAATCTACCAATCAAATATTAAATTGGCAAAGGAACATCGAAGTTTGGGTAAATACAGAGTGCGGTTTTTAAATTCTCGCCATTTTATATTTTTAATTTCGAGCATGCGCATTGTTTTTGATTTTGTCGACTCCACAGTGGAGTCAATTGGACACCGTCTGTGAGGAAAAAAGAGCAACATGTCGCAATTAACTCCGCCAGAAATTCGGAAACGGCATGCTGTACTGCCTAAAGCTCCAATACGAACATTTCAGAGTGTTTGAGTGTTAATCTGAAGGCAGTGTAAAGAATTTGGAAAGAGTCTAATGGTGATTACGAAGGTGTTTGGTGTGATCACTAGTGATGTCGACGTTGTGCCTCCATTCATCTTTCCACAGGGCCTCACTCTCAACACGGAAGCCTACATCAAATGCTTTGAGGAGGTAGCGTTGTCCTAGGTCAAGAAGGTGGCTGCTGGTCGACCCTATGTCTGGCAACAGGACTTTGCACACTGCCAATTAAACAGGAGAACGAAATCATGGCTATCAGACAATTTCTGCGACCACATCACCTCTTACATCTTGCCACCTAACTCCCCAGACTGCAACCCCCACTTGATTATTATGTGTGGCGTGTAGTTGAGCTAGAGATCAACAAAACTCGTTCTAACACCAAAGATGAATTAAGTGCAAGAATTATGGCAGCATTCATCAAATTAAACAAGGAGACCGTCCAGAAGAGATGCAGGAGATTCCGAAGTCGTCTGGAGGTTGTGGTTGAAGCGAATGGCGATTTTATAGAATAAATTTACTTTCTATTATTTCGAGATATTTTTGTGTAATTTTGGTAAATATATCTGTTAAAATGATATGTAAGAGTTATTCAATTTTTGTGTAATTTAGACGACAATTTATCCATCGCATCCGTATTATGAATGTGATAAACGGAAAAAAAATAATAAGGATAAACTAAGAATCATATTTCAGTGGGAAGACTGTCGTTATTTTATTATTTCCTCGCATAATATTGATGGTGGCGGTATGTGACACAAGGCGAGTTTAAAGTGTGGAGTCCAAGCGCGTGCACATGGGCTAAGGCTAAAAATCGCCTTGTCCTCACAGCAGCCGCCGCGTTGACGATATTCTACCGGCCACTCTCTTTGGTGCAATGAGGAAGGTGCTGCCGTAGGGTTGACAGACACGATGCTGACGACTGAGACACTTTCATCCTCGGTAAATTGGACACATAATCTGATACGAAGCACAAGGACAGATTCATAAGTAAATTATCCTGTTTTTTTGTTTACGAATTATCTGCTTAGTTCTATACGAAAATATGAAAGGAATCATGTTTACCACAAAGGAAACGAACCTGAAAAAAGTCAATCAAATTAACGTTGCTTTTGTGATTGTCACCAAAAGTTATGGTACAGTCTATGTATATACTGTACGGATACACCTATAGATGAAAAAACTAATAGATAAGCCTTACCTAATATAGGCAGAAGTATACTCATTTTATCCGTAGAAGTATTCCATAATTCGCTAGCCTGATGATGAAAATATTTTAGCAATCTCCTTCCTTGACCATGCACTTAACTTAGTCGTGAATATTAATCTATCAGTCCATTGTCTTAAGAATTCATCTTAGTATATTTCCAACTCAAAAATAAGAATCAATTCTTGTAAAACGATTGTTCAGTTTTTGTAGCGGGAACGCCATATTTCAGACTAGACAGGCCCACTTTCGCATATATTTTTAAGTTAAACCCATGTTTACAAAAAGGCGGGTTTAATAAAATTAACTTTTTTTAAATTAAAAAAAAATCATAAAGGTGTAACACATTTGTTTTCCCGCAACAATTAATCTCTTTCTTTGTTTACAGGCAAGCCCAAGTGTGATCATCAAATATTTTTACGTTAATTTTTATTCATTCTCAACTTCGAATTAGTGAACCTTTCATCTAAATTAGAATAAAAAAAAATCTTGTCATTTTTTTCTGTTGCTTAAAGGTTTCATTTTTGGTTTTATTCAAATGTTTTACTTTGTTCCTTGATTTCTAGATAATGTCTGCGAGGCAACATGGATAGGATTGAGGAAACCGAGGACATTGTTCGAATTTCAATCGAATTCGTTCCATTCACTTACAGGCAAATACTTTTGATAAATGTACGAATCTATCTCCCCCCCTCTCAGTTATGGGTTTAATAGTCGGATTGATATCCACCAAAAAAATTGCTAATGCAATATTCACTTGTACAAAAAGAATTATTCAGATAATCTAAAATAGGTTTCGCCTTTAAATAAGAAAGGATTGATAAGACGTAAAAATCAGATCAATCTTTGATTAATAGAACAGAATAGCATTAATTCCTTCATATTAAAATACTTTCATCATAGATTATTTGTGATTTCTATTTGTCAAACTCCAGTAAAGAGTTTTATTTTAAATAGGCTTATAGTTTGAAGGTTTTGCATGTTTATCTAAATTTATAAAATATATATATTATATATATATATATATATATATATATATACATATATATATATATATACATATATATATATATATATATATATATATATATATATATTATATACATAATATATATATATTATATATATAATATATATATATATTATATACATAATATATATATATATATATATACATATATATATATACATATATATATATATTATATACATAATATATATATATATATATATATATATATATATATATATATATATATATATATATATATATACATATATATATATATACATAATATATATATATATACATAATATATATATATATATATATATATAATATATATATTATATACATAATATATATATTATATATATATATATATTATATACATAATATATATATATATACATAGTATATACATATTATATACATAATATATATATATTATATACATTATATATGTATATATATATATACATAGTATATATACATATATATATATATATATATTATATACATAATATATATATATACATTATATATGTATATATATTATATACATAATATATATATATTATATACATAATATACATATTATATACATAATATATCTCTCTCTATATATATATACATAATATATCTCTATATATTATATAATATATATAATATATGTATACTATATATATAACTTATGTAAGTGTGTGTTCGTGTGTGAGTGTGGATATTTCAGCTCACGTGTGAGGTTTACGTACATATCAATTATTGATTTATTTACACAGTCCACACACATACGTGCAACTGATGCACATACACACATATAACTATTCAGCATGTGTGTGTATTTGTGGGCGATTTTTACTCACACATAAAATATGAATTTAAGTAGGCGCGCACACGCACTATTCTTTCTTTGTTGATTTGAAATCATTTCATTTCTTTCTTTTTTGCTTTTTCTTTTTTAATTCATTCATTCAGACATTCAGTCTTTCATTTTAATTCCCCCTCCCCCGTTTTTCTTCTCGTTCCTCTCCTTTGTTTTCTTTCTTTCATTTTTGTTTGTTTCCTTTTATTCTTCTTTTCACCGCTCTAGCTTTCCTCAAAAATATCTTTCTTTCTCTTTCTCTTTTGAAGCGTCTTTACTTGATCGTTACCTTTTCAAAGTTTTCCTTTCTTTCGCCCACCCATTGTCTATCATTCCATCGTCGTACGTGTTTTCATCTCCACAGACACGTTCTGGTCATGTTGAGCAATTCAAACTTGTGTTTGCCCATCATCTCTCACCCAAAGAGTCTGTCGGAGATAATCTTCTGCTCGACAGGAGGGCAGCGGAGATGTCGAACGAAGTTTCTATCCCAATTCGAATTCTGGCGAGGTGATCACGTGACAAGAACTTTAATCAAGTACTGACATCACCGGCAAGGTGGAACAAAAGGAGACAAAATAAGCATGCGTAGGAGTTACGCATATATATATATATATATATATATATATATATATATATATATATATATATTGGTGGAAATATGAGAGCTGTTAAAGAAGGATGGGGTAGATGTAAGTTACTAACTTCCGCCCCTCCATTAAGGAAAATCTCCTTTGAGACCACAGACGAACTGCAGCTTCAGCCTTTTTTCGGACCTCCAACCAATTCTCCTCCAACTGGAGGTCGGAACCAAACCAGACGCCAAGTATCTTGAGAGGTCCCTCCGTCCAAAGGACGAGTCCTTTAAGAGAGACTCCTTTCCACGTATCCAGCCACAACCCCAACGGTTGATTTTGGCTCCTGTTACCTCGTCATACCTGCTGATTTCCTTGCCGACTTCGTCAATCTCAGTCTTGATTTTCACGAAAGCGCTCACACCGTCGGCATACGCGGAACATCTGACCGCGGTGGTTGCACCAGAGAGGGTAACTCAGTGTAGGACCGGATTCGTCTTTAACTCGCGAAGGAAGGGTCCCAACACAATACTGTATAGTATCGGCGAAAGCGGGAAACCCTGACGATATGATCTAGATAACATGAAAGGTTTCGACCTTACGCCATTCACTTCCACCATAGGACTGATACAAGAGATGGACCCAGGATAGAAAGTATTCTACCGTCGCTACACTGTTGACTTCATCAGTTGCCATACTGCTAGTTGGATCTTTCTCTTTATCATTGTTTTCTTTCTTGTAATATATAATGGGTTGTGGAAAAATTATCTTTCATCTTATAGGACCCACCTTCAGCGGATGTATTTTTCTTTTGTGTGGTTGTATTTTTGGGGAGACATATTCATAATTTGTATAGTGCATCTGCCTTAGTGGCAGGTCCAAATAAATCTTTTTAATGGTCCGACTCTGGTCGGACATCATATACAGTTTTTTTTATTTTTTTACAAGCAGTAAATGTATTTTCCTTACGGCCACAATTAATAAATTTCAAATAACAGTGACAATCAATATAGCGAAATAAAACAAATCAAACAAAAACAGAATTAGAAACAAAATAAAAAAATTAAAATAAACTATAAAGGCAAAAAAGGCAAAAAAAAATAATTTTGACGCAGAAACAAGTCCGACGCAAAAGCAAAAGAATACGAAAATTAAAACAAACTTAAAAACAAAAATGAAAACAATTAAGGGCGGCAACTGACGATCCCAAGTCCTCTTCTGGAGAGGGGTATGTTCATCTCCATCACCAAGAAGATAGAACGACACAATGACTGAAACGTCGTCAATCTAACAAACAAGACGACTATACCAGTCTGAATTGAAAGTCCTATAGTAATTATACTTCCTCATCTAAATTAAAAATCCACAGAAGGAGATCAGGTTGAAAAATAAATATTTGTTTTATGAAATAAAACATTTTTTTATTCATCATTAAACCGTGGAATGACCGATACACCAACATCTACCTTTTGGTTTAGTCTACGAGGGTTTAATATTTTCTTTGGGTGCAACCTGGCATTTCGTTTTATCTCGAGGTTAACTTCCCTCAGAGGATCTCATTTGCCTGTTTGCGTGCTATCCATTTGTCTATAAAACTAAAAATATACATTTTCGTCATCCATCCATCAGACGCGAACTTATATATGAAAGAACTAAATTTTGACCGAATTCTTTCATTCTTTTAATTTCTTAATAGTTATTAAATTTATTGTTAAAATAATATATTAGAATTAATTAATATTTTTAAATTAAATGTAGAAGTGATTAAAACTGTAAAGAAAACGAGAATTGGGCACAAGCAAGTTTCTTTTATTCGGCATAAAATCCCCAACAATGACAAAGAAAATATCGAATTATTAGAGAAAGTTCATCAGACTTATATGAGTCGGATATTATTGTTTATGTGTTACTCTCGCTTCAGAGGGAATTAAAAATCAAGAAAAATCAATAATCACAAGAGATGACAAAGACCCAAGCATCAAGCAGAATGTAAAATGGTGATCTATATCAGGGGTCGACAACCTAAGGCACGCGTGCCACAGCGCGGCACTCCAAGCAATTTCCAATGATACGCAGCCGCAAATGACATCACGAAGTCCGAACCAATACCTACTACAACGCAAAGAGAATATTTAGCTGTTTCAAAACTGCTCACTCGTTAGAATCCAATTAATAATAAAAACTTAAAAACTTTTAAAAATAGTTTATTTCTATTAATGTGGTTTACATATGATTGTATATATCACGATAAAAAATATATATGTAGAACAGGTATATTGACCTTGACTTGTATAAAAATAAATATGCTTTAGCAGACTGAATGTTTTTAAAACCCTAAGTCGGCACATAGTTAACAAGAGGTTACCGACCCCTGGTCTATATTGTCATTTATTATTCAATGGAAGCTAAGTTTAGGCCTGTGAGTCCAGATAAAAAAATAGGATTCCTAATGCTTATTTAATAGGATGAATTTCAGCACTTAAAATATTGGACTAACATTTGTTTTTTTATTGTCAACTTCGAAATTTAACCTGGTTCCGTAATAAGCATCGTCTTTTCTTTAACTATACACATCTGGCTTTATCATTAAGAAATGCACGCACGCGTACACACACGCACAGAAAATCCTTCATTAAATATTGTCAAACAAAATGAAAATCATTTGAATGATCTAGTCAAACTCTCTTTGATTCACTTACGTCTCTGCCACCGTCATAGCGGGAGAGAATGAGAATAGGGAGAGACAATGACGACCACGATGCTCGGAAGCGAGCGGGTGCCAAAGAAGGAAACTCTAAACTGTGTATGAACTCAAAGTTACGTATTAAGCGTTGATATTCATTTCTCCAAAAGCTAAATAAATTTTAAAGGTAAATCCATTAGAACTATATGAGAGAGAGAGAAACCTATTCTTTTAAGTATTTACAGTACAAGAGATTTTAAGGTCCAATCTTTGCTGCAAAATCTCTAAAAAAAAGGAGATAAGAAAATCGCATTAATGTTGTTTTGATGAAATGAATCATTCCCCCCCCCATGATTGAATTCCAGATTGTGATTCTGATATAAAAAAATATCAAATACGTAATCAAAAGGTAATCATGAATAGCAGTAATAAAAACTAAACGTATCTTTACTAAGCTTCACTTTGTAAGAGACAGGGTCAAAGTAAGTCGATGATCATAAAATATAGTTTAGTACATCACAAGGCTAATACAATTTATTGTCTTACTACAAAAACAAACAGGATTTCGTAATTCTACAGCATATTCAATAAAGAATTATTTGCAAGTCTATACAAAATCAACTCTTATATCCTGAACAATCACCATTCTAGGTATGACAATAATCTACACCCGCGTCCTGGGTAAATCGATAAGCTACATCCGTGTCCTGGGTATGACGATAAACTACATCTGAGAGCAAGAAGATTTTGAGGAGTATGGAACCACCACTTAATAGCTGATAATTTCAGTTTCACTCAGACCCGGGGTCATATCACCTGTCAGTGTCCCGCTATGGACAAATAGTTAACACCACAAAAGGGATCAAAAAAATATAAAAATATAAAAATAACAGTAATGCTTTTTTGGAAAAATTATTACCAGCAATACATTATTTCTAGCAGTACATTTTTGAAAAAGTAAAATATTACCAACAAAAAATTTTTGGAGAAAAAATATTACTAGTAATTAAAATCTTGTCGCTATTACATAACCCATTGAGGTTGATATGCCGTAAAACAAACCAAACCAAACCAAATCTGAACAATCATATCAACACCTGAAATCAAAAAGGTGTATAAATGGTTATTATAATAAGAAGCTTGATTAAGAAATAGTGCATCCGTTAGTAATATAAAATGAGAATATATAATACAAATGCCACCTCTCCAACAGCTTCGGTGCTACTTCCAAGGTTGGATATGAAAAAGAGGTTCAACTTTAGAGTGCATCAATATGAAAAAAAAAGTTAAAAACAATTCTCTTGCTACAGAAACATCGACAAGAGTTCGAAAAACAATAACATTCTGTGAAGAGATCTCTTCACGAGCATTTATAATGTCGCTGTAGAAGATAGAGATAAAAAATACACTGATTACAGACTTGTTTGCAATCTTGTACTTTTTAAAACAAAATCCATGTCTTCAGGACATACACAATCATGACTCTCCACAGCTTTCCCCTATTATTAGTGAATTCAAATTAATTCTTAGGAAAGATAGTAAAGTGGCTTTACCAAAGTTTGGAATTGAAAGTTTTCCTTCTTTTAGTTATCCATAGCTAGAGAGCCCAGTCTAACCTGCTGTTTAGGGGAGAAGAGAAAGATTCATGACTTTTCAAAGGGTATTTGTGCGAGAGTGAACGCAACCGACTAATCTGGAATATCTTCCTTACCACTTTCCGGGACGATATCCATTATACTATCTACACATTCGATCTTATGCTATTATACGTTAAAAACTCGATCGAAGACTTTTTCTATGAATGGGCAATAGATTGCCGTTGTAGTTTTCATGCCAAATAAATGCTATACAAATATCCCCCGTTTTTCACATGTTTAATTTTTTACCTACCTTATACTTAAAGACTGAAAAATTAGTTCCTTTCTGAAAAAAAATTGAAAGAGGATTTTCTATTTTTCGAAAACGAAAATAAGACGCAGATTTCGTTTTGCAGTTGACGTCTAGAGGCCCTGCGTATCTTCACTGGGATCTACACTCAGCATCACAATATGAAGCCTCCATAACTTTAAACTCTATTGGCGTACATCTCTATTTTCTTTTAGTTATTTCAACATAAGCAAGGCAATAAAGCCACTAAGACGAAAGGGGGTTATTGTGTGTTAGAGAATATGAGAAAAGCACTATTAAGGAGGGAGGACAATAAAAGAACAGCAATTAAGAAGACAAGAGAACATTTGACATTGCATTTAAAATTTT